AAAAAAGAGTTGTTGTCAAAATAAAATACAGTGTCATCCGTCATTAATATCAAACAAATGGAGGAGGAGCAGTTTAAGATAGTAATGACCAAACCTTACTTACCCAAAATATGAAAGGTGATAGATACTCAATAAATAGGCTTTTCATTCAGGTTAGGGGCTGTGGAGTGATTTGTTGTTTGTATCAAAGGGTCATGTGGTTTGCTACTTAAAAGAGTTATTATAGCCACATGGGGTGATTGTGGTTTATTATCCAATATGTACTATCTCATACAGTTTTGCTATGGAACAATCGGATGGTTCGGCTTATGAAGCAATCCACACTTATTCACCAATAGTGTATTGACACGTGTATTACAATAAATACAATTTAAACAGGTGTCAATATATTAAGCAATAGATAGCTCCATAAAAAAATAATCTGATTGCTCCATAAAATTTTTGCTATCTCATATGGTCGTCACCAACTTGGATATCTCATCCACTCTTTTTCAAATTTGTACTAATCTTCTTAGAGACAAATAAGCCATTGGAAACTTTTTATTCATTTTGCCATTTGAAACTTTTTATTCATTTTCTATTATTATTATTATTATTATTATTATTATTATTATTATTATTATTATTATTATTATTACACAAATGTTAGGCTGTAGTCAACTAGTCGTTCGACAATCATATATATATATATATATATATTTTTTTTTTAATAAAAGATGCATATTTGGATTATGAAATGTCGTATTTTGAGACATAGTTGTTTGGCATGAGAAAATAGCCAAATGCATGGAGTTTACATTTGTCTACAATATTAATTATACATATGAGGGAATGATTCTTTTATGGAATCGTCCATGAATTGACGTGCGTAACATCTGTTTCAAGTGAATCTATTTTAGAAAATGTGTTAGTACACAATTTAAAAATAATTGTAAACAACTGCATAAATTGTGTCACCTGATGACTTCATAACAAAAGTACAAAACTACAACTTTTTTCTCCTTTTCAACTTTATTACAAGAGAAAACTAAAATATATTGTAAGTAAAAATCGAATCTCGCGTGGATTTTGGGTCGATTTGTTTCAAAGTTATGTGGATGTGCATCTGGGTCCGTTTATGTATATGGGTGAGTTTAACTTGAAAAGACGAACACAATAAACTAGATGGATTGCCCAAATAAAAGGCTACTAATTTGTCCATAGATTTACTGTGGTAGGCCGACTTAACCATTAGAATACATAATTTTATCAATATACATATTTTTATCAGTAAATATCAGCTTTATGAGGTTATTTGAGTACTAATCTTGGTCTACTAAGCCAAATTTACATAAAGGATCCTTACATATTTATCATAACATACATTAAATTTGTACCCAACTTGTGGTTCATGAAT